AATAATTGTTTCGATGCTTCTGGAATTTGTAACACTAAGCTTACACAACTTTTAGTGATTCTTCAATCAACCAGTCAAATTCACCAATAATGGTCATGTGATGATAAAACAATTCCTCCTCACTGCAGGGCTGCTGTGTGTATTCAACGGTGTTGGAGAAATTTCAAGGGCTTAAAATGGATTCCACCTCCTGTAAGGGTCACCTCACCAAAGAAACTGAAAGCCAGGCCTACAAGTAAGTCTTCAAACAGGGAGATTGAGGTGAAAGTGCCAGTCACTCCAGCACCTATGAACGAGGCAACTACACCACAGGAGATCGATTATGATACGTACCTAATGAATAGACGACCTGGTTCAATTAGCACTAATGTGACTTTGTTTGATGGGGATAAGTCAGTAGATCAAGGGGAAAACACAGGAGGAGCTCTACCAGGGGTAAGATATATACAGTAATCTGTATCTTCTTTACATGAATCGGAAAAAATTCCATTGCACTAAAGTTTGATTTGATGTTTTTAGTAGCCTTTTATGTAGAAACTTAGCTCAACAGTATTGAATTATGTAGTTAATTCATCATTTTATTTAAATGTCTGTTAATTATGTAAATAGTTTTTATTGACTTTAATTAATTTAACATGTATGTCAAAGGTCAAGGCATGTAAACAATGAATCTATTTCACTATGAGTACTTTCATAAAACAGAATGAATATTACCTACTTTTATTTCATACATGTTCTGTTATAGACTAGATTGCTTTATGACTTTGATATAGACATGGAAAATTATTCTTTGATATTTTCTTCCTCAGATATCAGATAATAAACAAGAAGCAATGGAATATTCAACCCTCAAAAAAAGGAAAAATATACTGATTGATCTGACTAGACTCCAGGAAAACTCACAGATTGCTCTTGATAATCCAGTAGATGGCATTGTCATGGAAACATCCAACATAGCAGACGAAACCCAACTTGAAATTTTATCCAAATTGACGCTTCCAACAGATGAAGTTATTACGGCTCAGAAGGTGGTACGCAAGGAAAAGAAGAGAAAGGAGTTTAAGACAGTGAAGCAGATGCTGGGCCCGTTGTCAGATATGGATCTACATCGTGAGCATCCGTTGTCACCAGTTATGTGCGAGAACAAAGAAGAGGAAGAACCGCTAGTAAAATTCCGTCTATCAGGCATGAAATCAACAATGGTTGATGCAGATAGATATCAGGAGCTTCTGGTGTCTAGAAAACAAGCTGGGAAAGATGTACGTGAAGCTAACAAGATATTTTTAGAAAACAAATGCACAATACCAAAGAAAAAACTTAAAAGAAAAACAATGACAGCTGATCAAAGGTTGTTTGCACGTGTGCAAGGAACTATGGGAATGTCGTGCTTACGTGCCATCCAACAAGCGTACAAGGATAGAATCCGTGCGGAAAAAGCAAACATACGATTGGAATGTATTGCAAACCTGAAGGAACAGCGCGAAGAAGGCAAACAGCGTGCAAAATCAATTCTTGAAGAAAAACGTCAGCAAGCACTTCAGAAGAATGATAAAGACCAAGCTGAAATGTCCAAACATAAAGAACAGCAAGAAATACACAAAAAAAAAGCAATAAAAAAACAGAAAGCTTTACGATCACGTTCGCAAGATTTTACAAAATGCTTAAAAACTGAGAGAACATTTTCAGTTGAGTTTAATGGACAGCATACATCTATTTCAAATGCTCTGTTACGGCATGATCAAATGGCCAAGAAGGATGAAGATCTACGAGCTGTGCAAGATTTCACTGAATCTGAGAGAGAACATCATCGACACCAATCAGAATTGGTCCAGCGATATCTTGAGCATCGGAAACTGATGCGACAAGCACAGGCTGTAGTTGAAAAGGCTAGCCTGGATACAAAGATGCTAACGGCAGCCAATGACAGACTTGCTGAAGCACGGAATAAAGTAATCTCTCAGAAGCAGAGAAGAAAAACTGTACAGGCTTTTTATCCATTACCAAAAACAGCAACAGACCCCGTCTTGCCTCCAGTCAGACAAGAGGGAAAGCCTGACCGATGGAACACAGTTATTGATATGTTTGACGGCCATGTTGGTACACACCCTACTACTATACAGACCTGAAATTGATCTACAAAATATATTTTGATACTCTTCTTCATAATTCATGGAATAAAATTTGTAAGTGAAGTATAGTCTGCTTTATGAAATATTATTTTTACAAATACTGCATGGAATTGGGTGAGTGTGTGATTTTAGTTTCATAATGTACTTTGAGACTAAGAGTAGGCCTACTATTGCCACCGATCATGGACTGATGCCAAAAAGCTTTGACATTCGCTGTGGTTGTTGCATTTACATTTTAGCTTTTGTTTATATCAATACAGATCAAGCTGTTGTTTCCCATGTCATTGTTGTTTTTCAGATATGTAATTATATACAGTATAAATGTTTGCAAGGATATAGGATAAATATACAGTACTGTACAATTAAACTTGCCCAAGTCAACTTTGACTCAAATAATTTCCAAGTCAGTCTTAATTTACATGCCAAATTGTTGTGTTTTTCATTAATTAACGATCTGTACATCAAATTTTATTTAAGTCAAACAATTTTTAATGCCATTTTGGAAATGACTTAAGCAAGTGCAACTGTATACAGTATAACATACTTTTATTATTATTATTATCAATCATACAAGTATTTACTGTGATAATGATTTATATCACTATTACAATTATTTGTTACAAAACCACAATTGACAACACCTTCTTATGTTGCACATGTAGCATAAAATTCTATGATAATGTTTTATATCACTATTACAATTATTTGTCACAAAAACCACAATTGACAACACCTTCTTATGTTGCACCAGTAGCGGGGCCCACCCCCTCCCCCACCCCTGGTGGGTCTAATGTGGATAGACCCTCCATCTGTCGAAGTCCCTTCCTGGGCCCCCCTCTATTTCAAATCCCTGGATCCACCACTGAATACATTAATCACAGACTTCCTGCCTGCCCAATACACAAATCTTGTTTCAGCATTATCATTTTTATTATAATTCAATTAATAATACAATTATTCAAGTCAAAAGTATTCATTTCTAGATATATTACAAATTGGTGATGTATTCAAAAATTAAATTACAAACTTTGAAGCAATAATGAATTACCAGGTCGTATTTTTATTATGGTATATATTTTGTAAGGTGAATGGAATTGCACAAATAAAACACTGCATGTTGCTGCTTTATCTAAACATATGGTAATAAGATTCAAGAAGTACTTCTTATTTTTTATGTTTCAGCATTAGTATTATGTTTAGTCATTATGATTAGAATACATAAATTGAATTGTTGTATTTAGGTTCAATTTAATCAAGAACGATGATAATTATTATTATTTTGATGTTTCAGCATTAGTATTGTCATTATAATGTGAATAGAATGCATAAATTGAATTATTGTATTTAGGTCAAATTTAATCAAGAATGATGATAATTATTATTATTTTAATGTGTTAGCATTAATATTGTCATATGATAATGTAAAGAGAATACATAAATTTGAATTATTGTATTTAGGTCAAATTTAATCAAGAATGATAAAAAAATCAATTTCTCGTTGCTGGTGTATGCAGAGTTTTGAAGTTAATAATGAGTTGTTCAAATTGATGGGTCTAGTTTATAACTGCATCGCAGGTCTTGAGGTATTGTATCTTTTGATTGAAATATTAAGGTTTTACTACAAACAGTAATAACATTTGTAAATAATACTGCAGTCTGATATTCCTACATGAAAATGGTGCTATTGAGAACAATAATAAAGCTTCAAGATTTAAACTGTTGTTTTCCTTTTTATTATTAACTGATTTATATTCTGTTCATAAGTTGATAAACACACTACATAACCATGAATATTCATTACCATGGTACTGTATAGTTCATCAAAAGTTCAGATGGCTATTTATATATTCAATTTTCATTTGCTGTGAATGCGGTGTTCTTTTGACAATGATTAAGAACAGTGATAGTACTGCTTATTAAACAATACAGTAGCATATTATTTTTCTGAAAGTGATGGTGTTATGAACAGTGAGAAGAATCGCTTGTTAAACAATACTGTAGCATAATATTTGTCTGACAGTGATGGTGCTTTTCTCCATGAAAATACTCGGAAAAGGTGAATTTCAAAGGCTGTCAATCATGCAAAAAGTATACAATGAAACACTAGACATCAGAACTACCAGTAACAATTTAAAATATGTTAGACTGATTGAATCAAATGCCAATATTTTTTTCACAAATTCCAACAGAAAAGTTGCATTCACAAAGACTATAAAATCCAAATTGTTCAGCAAAGCAAAACTTAACAATCATAATATATGGCAATGTGTACTTTTAGTGTTTACTACTGATCATGGACCTTCATGGACTTAATGTTTACACAGATTCAAGATTAGCAGAGTTTTACCATGATCTATATTCTCTGCTAGATAAATGTGTGCTCATTATAAGGGACCATCACTTTCTACTCCTCCTTTGATCTACAGTAGCAGGGGAAATCCTATTATTTACATTGCACCCAATGCACTTAAAGTTGGTCACTGAGATAAATATTATAGGTAAGACTTATTTGACCTAATGATCAAAATAACTTTCCACTCATTCTAGCAAAATTTATATGAGCACTTGTACTGAACAGTACAGAGGCAGCCTCTCATATTAAATCCTTGAGAACACTTGCAAAGGTAGATGCAGTATGAGATAGATTTTTAACTACCAAAGTTCCTTGGGTACAAGCCCAACACCCCCCCCCCCATACCCTGACCTTTTCCCTGCAGAAATGCTGGTATGTAACATTCGACATAAATGGGTGGGGCTTGTACCCAAGGAACTAGGATACATTTATCAATTCAAGTACTGTACAAAATATTGTATCTTCACATCAAAATTAAATAATGGTCAAATAATGTAGTAATGTCACAACATACTGTAGTACTGATAATAATTTCATACTAATACTATGTCAAAAGCTTGGTTTCCTTAAAATTGCTACAATGTCGCTACAGTGTTTTCAGTGCAATCGTTTGACTGCGTAGCAGTCCCCGGCGCAATCGGGAAGGCTCCCCGATACGTCCGACCAACCAGCATCACGAAAGCTGTCGGCGATACCGTGTAGCGATTGTATGGAACCAAGCTTTACAACACAGCATGTTAAGCCTCTGTGGACTTTACATTAACCCCCCAGTCACTGGATAAAATACCTATTGCAGAGCAGCACATTGGCATTCGGACCTACCAGGTACCAGCTTATACTCTTGGGTGGAGAGAGACAAACATAGGTAAATACCTTGCACAGCATAGGTAGGAACACCCAACCTCAAGGTTGAGAGCAAACTGCAAACACTTCCCCAACCACTTCCATGAAATAATCAAGACAAGATTGTGCAGAAATGTATTCCTGAAGAATCTAGAATACATTTGCAAAAAAGAATCGTTATGACTTCATCACTGCCTTCAGTTTCTTGTATTATTTTGTACATGAAAAAATCATGTTTTTTATTTAATTCCACTACTAATTCAAGTCAACTACGTTATTATTTTAGTATTCTTTCTGTACCTTTGATAATCTATTTTTGAAATTGGTGCATTATAAATGCTTGTATAAAATTATCATTTTTTTTACGTTACAATTATTATTATTGGTTTCTATCATTATCATAATTATTTTATTATTATTAGATTATCAATACAATGGTTAACATTTTAATGCAATCAACCTCTTAATGTCAATTGATGAATTGTGTATGCCCATGAAGAATTCTACTACTATGAAACTTCAGAATGATAAGCAAATTTATTCAAATCTAAATTAGATATATAACTGTACATTGAGAAATGGTGATAAGGCCAAAAATCTATTGCTGTGTTACCCAAGTATAGTGTGATATCCAAAAACATGATCAATGATCAGTGTTTTCCTCAGAACTGTATTTTATCGAATTACTGTACTCAATTTATGTCAAGTTCCCAATGTAAAGCCTTTGATTGGAGCTTGTTAAGGGCCCATTTTAAACACCAAAATATATAATTTTGGCCTTCTCAAAAAAAAATACCACCCTAACATTTCATAGACACAATCTTTCTGTTGGCATAATGATTATAAAGGTAGCGTCAAAGCAATACTGATTGAAAATGTCAAGCATAATAATTATTCTAAAACTTTTTTAAAGAAAAAGTAATTTTTGAACTTTGACAATTACTGTAAATTACTGTACACAAAAAAAATGTTCACATGAATAAATGAAATACAAAAGAATGACTAATTGTTTATCAAATGTTACATTTCATGTTCTTGATTGCCTAGCAATGTTTTTCAATAAAAGTATATCATAAAAGTTATATTTATTTTTTGTTCAATACATTGTATGCATTCAAAATTTCATATAACTGTATTTCTTTTGAAATTCCCCAGCCCCCCCCCCTTTCATATTCCTATACACCATAGTAGTTATACCACTGTACTGTAACCCCTTCCCTTTATGTACAATATTTCATACACCAACAGTTCCTACCATACTTATCTGCCAACCATATCACTTAAACATGGCATCTTCCATTTCCTTCCTTTTTTCCTTTCCTTTCAGAATCGCTAATTTAAATAGTTTGCAGTACAAGTTCATTGCTGAAGAAGAATCATCATTTCCTGGAACTGGGTAAGTAATAAGATTAGGGTTACAATTGGTGTCAACAACACCAATCGTCGGAATGTTCATCTTCGCAGCATCTTTGACCGCAAGGTGTTGATTTAGAACATCGTTTAAGGTGTTTGTAAAGATCATCAAATCTGGCAGGCGAGTTCCGGGTCCGAATTGAACTTGAGCATTTGTGAAGCACCCTCCTTGCCATTTTCGTGTATGAGCAAATTCTTCGCATTCCTTGGCCGTTTTTTCCATTAAGTTAACAAACCGTGGTGTTCGGTTAATAAATAGAATGATTCCTTTACGGTAAGCGATGTGTGCTGCGAAGTTAAGAGCTAGCTCCAGACGAGGAACAGTTTTTTCCAAGTCGATAATACACTGTTCTTGACGGACACCAAATAAATATGGTTTCATATTTTGGTCCAATAACCCATCCTTGTGGCCGAGATGAACATTTGCATCAAACAAATTTTGAAGAGTGAACAGTTTTTTCACTCCAAAAAAATCCTTAAAGTCAAGTGGGTTGATGATTTTTGTCTCCACACGTGGATGAGTAACACATTCAACTATGGAGAGAAAAGGTAAAGTATTAAAAAGGACAACACAAAAAAAGTAGAAAGGGGGAAGAGGGAGTAAATGAATACGAACAAGATTAATTGGTGCATGGCATAAACACTGTACTGTACATATTTTTTTCATGAATAACCATTAATTTTAATACCTGAACTTAAATTCATCTCTGCTTTCTTAATTGCATTATCCATTTCAGATGTGATATCTTGTGAAATCCCCATCTTCTGAAATCCTTGCAGACATCTTGTTCTTCTCATGTGCTTCATAAACACACCTGTAAAATCACATACAAATATCGGGGGCAGAAAAATCAATCAGGGAAGAAAGTTCAGTGGCAATTTAGTATTAAAACATACAATATTAAAATGCCTTTATACAAGCTTCCAATTCTATGGTCTCTTCTTTCTTGGGCATATACATGTGTCTGGCCTAGCTAGGTTAGTCATACATACATCTGTGTGTTTTGGGCAGCCCTAGGCCTAGTACTAGCCATTTACAACTACGACAAAGCCTAGACTAGCCCCTACCTAGGCTAGCCTACTACTAGCTAGGCCCTTCCTAGGCCCTAGGCACTACATGATGATGGTAGAGTCCAAAAAGGTATATTTACGTAAATGTTTCTCTTTTTTCTTTTGCAAATGTGCCAAGGTGAGACATAAACAATAATCGTTTTTTATTACCTGCGGAAAATCCACGAATTTGACAAAGCTTTTGAAGCCCCATACCAACAAAAGACCCTGCTCTCCAACTCGTGCTCGGGTGACTCTTTCGGAAATTCGGTGGATGTAAAAAAAATTGCGCCCCCTATTGCTTGCCTATAGCAAAGATCTTATAAACACAGGGGAAAGAAGAGCTGCTCTCTCTCTAGGGGAAAGAAGAGCTGCTCTCTCTAGGGGAAAGAAGAGCTGTCCGACAGGGAACTTGTACTCGTAGGCCCGAACTGGGGGAAGGGTTTGAAAGAGTTTTCCCTCTTCCACATGAGATTTTTTTAAGAATAGGAACCTCTGGATGGCCAGGAATGACACTCTCTGATGATTGTGATAGACATGTGTTGGCTTGTGACGTAGGCCTATTTTTATATACTGTATTTTTTAGTTCGACTGCCCGACGACGAGCTCTATCCGATGGGGGATTGACCTGTCCGGTGAGGGA